CACACACACAAAAAAAATAATAAGTAATAAATTTTTAAGAAGATGGATTAAGGGCAAGCGATTGGTTGGTAGAGTTCATTACTTAACAATGACAATTAATGTGTCTTAATATAATGCCTATGAATGACTGTATGAAAAAACAATATTAATTTTGTTGTTGTTGTGTATTGTAGAGTTAGAACCGACCTGTAGCTGACCCACCAGTGGGTTTTCAGAGGCAGTTAATTGCATGAGAGGAGATTGCCTGCCCTTCTCCTGGGGATCATCTGGTGGATTTGAACCGCATGCCTTTGGGATTGCAGTGCAGCTACTGCCCATGAGGACACCACAGCACTAAAAGAAAAAGAACATCACAATAACAACAAAAAGCTTGTCAACAGCCATCTAAGGTGCAAATGTTGCTCTCAAGACCCAGAGGGCGGGGGGTGGGGAGCGAAGGACATAGAGGATGCATGAAGTTAATCAGTGCAAAGGACTAACAAGCCCACCAACCTCCATGACACGGAGACCAGACATGCTAGATGGTGCCCGCTGCCCCTGCTGACCGCTCTGAAAGGCGTCACAGCAGAAGGCCCCCAATAGAGTGGGCGAAAAATGTGGGCCACCATTCAAAAATCTTTAAAAAGGACCAGGATTACTGGTCTGGTCTGATCAGAACTGGTAGAACCCCAGACGCCATGACCCTTAATCACCCCAGGCCTGGAGCCAAATTCACCTCATGACTCAACTTCCAGCCAAACAGTAGACACACCTATAAGGTGATCAATAACACCGAGGAGGGACAGCCTCCTTAAGGAACAAGCTCACAGGACAGAGTCTGTGATCTTGGCTCAGAAGGAGGAGAAGGAGAGGTGAGGAGGAGGAGGAGGTGTGGAAACGGGACACACAAGGGGGAAGTGGGAAAAGTGTGGCCACGATGTGCAGCCGTGATCAGCGTCACAAAGCACGGCAGGGGTGAGTTGCTGAATAGAGAAACAATTCTCTATGTACATTGTCACTCACTTTGCAACAACAACAAAAATTAATTTTAAAAAGCAGAGGGAGAAAAACCAAAAAATTTTAAAGCGGGGAAGGGAGAGGGAGGAAGAGAGGAAAATGTGCAATAATGGATGAATGAAAATTCAAAGTTTCAGGGAGCTCTGCTGGCCTAGTGGCAAGGAGCTGCAAGTATAATCCCAGAGGCACACGGTTCAAATCCATCAGATGCTCTGCCGGGGAAGGAGAGACAATCTCCTCCTGTACCAGTCAGATCTGATTTGACGGTACACTCACACAAAAATAATAAAAAAATTTAA